TTGTCATATGTAAAGTCTCCCTCCCTTCCCCACGTCACTTTGTTAACTCTTATGCAGGTGTGTGTGAAGTGCTACTTCAATTATGATGGGTGGAGTCTTCTTCCCTGTAGTTTTTGGATTGGGAAGGGCCTTTGTAGACATAAATAAATTCTTAATTCAGCATGTCTGTTCTGTTATACTACTAAAGTTGTTTTTTAATTTAGCTTAAATTTATTTTACCATATAAAAATGCTTCTGAAGCGCCTTGATTTTACATTAAGAAATATTTTGTGAAGTATTCAGTATTTTTATTGGAAAATTTTAATTTGGATTTTGTGTGATATTTTGAGGCTTATGGTCTTTTCCCTCAAGACATTAACAATATATAATTAAAGAGGATGAGCAAATTGGATTTAATATCTACCTATGTCACTTTATTTCTCCCAAGCAACATATCCTTTCTTTGAAGAGAGGTATTTTGGTGATTTAAGCCCCAAGAAGAAGAAAGTATTCAAAACCAGATTTTCCAATAACTAATATGTCCAGAGATGAACCATTTTGGGAAGTAAACTCTTCTTTGGGTTCCTGCATTAATAATGACTCAGTTTGACAGGAAGAGGATCAGGATCTTAAATCTGTGGATGGGGAGTCGCTCACCGCAGTGCACCGCCACTGTGTGTGTGTGTGTTTCTCAGATGTCTTTGCTCACAGGGTGCTCCTGGAGGCTGGCTTTCCAAGGATCTTCAGCTCTATGTGCCTTCATTTTATTTTCTGCTTGGAAGGCCTCCTTTAGCTCCTTTTTACGACTCCTTCATCCTGTCTCCTGGCCTGCTACACACGGACTCTTGGAGACTGCTCTCAGAGATGTATGTGAATCTGGTAAACATAGCGACCCTGAGGCAAACAGACCCAGGTTCAAGTCTTGACTCTGCTACTTATTAGTGTGCGATCTTGGGCAAATTTTGTGACCTTTCTATGCCCACGTTCCTATCTGTAAAACGTGGGTAATAACAATATTCCCAGAGAAGTGTGATGTGAGAATTAGATACGATGATGCATACTACTTGGCGTATGGAGATAATAAGTGCTTGATAATCAGCAGCTGTTACTATTATGCCGTAAGGCACTCTCAGAAACGAGTGTATTGGTGAACTTGCCCTGGAAGTTGAGACTATACACTTTACACACACATACACACACTAAGCGCACAGTGCATATTTGTTAAATGTTCTAACAGGTGTGAGTAAGCCACTGTCTAAGCCACTGTGTTCAGATTGTTGCCTGTCCTGACGGTGTAGGTTTTAATCTCACTTCTGATTTACATTATTTCCCGCCTCTTTGACAGACTGTACACTTGATTAAGGGAAGGGTCATTCCTCGTTTTCACCACTGTATCATTTAGTGTCTGGCAAGCAGTTGGTGCGTAACAGCTATATAGTAAGTGAATGCAAAAATAAGTCATTAATTCTGTGTGGAGCATATTGAAGATACAAGGTAGAGGCCACATTTGAACTGGGATTGAAGGATATATGGGATTTTTCCAAGAGGAGAAGGAGCGATGGGGCATAATGGCAGGAGGAAACACCGAGTGCCCAAAGGGAAGGACAAACGGGACTGTAGTTGGAACTGACTGGTGAGTCCCCGAGGCAGGGTGCCCACCCAGTTGTCCTCTAGTCTGCTTCTCATGGCCCATACCTAGTGATTCAGTAGTCAGCCCCTCAGTACCTGCTCGCTGAACGAATGAGCCTCATCTCCGGCTTACTTTGGAAAGGGGTTAGGTTCGATAAAATCAATGAGAACTTTTGGAAATGAAAGAATCTTTTAAATACAAACCCAGCAAAAATTTCTTAAGCATTGAAAAATAGCTACATTTTGTGTTTTTGTATAGAATGAAAGCTAATTCAATATATGTATGTCAAATAACTTTTAGTCAGAATGGAGTCATTTATATTCTTATGCTGCCTTTTGTCATATTGTGTGCCTAGTGGGAGACTGCAGCAAAATCCTTAGGGTTAGCCCTGGAACCTTAGACCAACTCTCGCAAGGGAAAGACTAATCTTTAGGTCAAGGGGAAAGAATAATGAGCTCTGCGTCTTTCACAGTGATGATGAAAATCGACAGCAAGACAGCAGAAATATTAAACTCAGGTGCAAATACAATTTTCTTAAATATTACACAATACAGATATAATGCTTTAAAAACCATTATACGTCATTTTTTTCCTATAAGCATGTGAGCCAATTATTAAAATGTCAAGGAAAAAAGAAAAGTTTATACCTTTTGTATCTTACCTATAAAAATATTCAATAACATGTAAATAGAGCACCAGTTGCATATTCATTAATGTGTGGCTTCTTGTGCTTTCCATCCATCTTGGGGTAAAAATCCTCAATTACTTCATCTTCAGTTCGATCTAGCCATAGAGTTAAAGTAAATATATTACATCAACCATTTCTTTAGCCCAGTTCTATATGACAATACTAACAAATGGTAAACATTGTGTGTAAATGGTGACTCATAAAAATGTAGACTCAACTATGGATTTTAATTTATATGCTTCAGCTATAATAACTGTGCAAAGATGGTATCAAATTAAAGTCAGTGTTTGAGACAGGAAGCAGTCTGTTCTCTGTGATCCCGCACTCAGTTACCGGGAGAGAACCCCCCGGGGCCTCATGCGCAGAGCTCCGGCAGCCTTCCCCAGGCCCCTCTCCCAGAGCTCCTTTGACGCCTTCGGTCCTTCAAGCCGATCGGTTTTAGTTCTGGAAGCCCTGTGCCCTTCAATGGGTCATCTTTTCCCGTGTCCTGTCATTTCCAGCTCTGGGATTTTTCTAACCACAGTATTGTAGAGTCTCCCACATCACCCCCTCAGCCAGGGAAACTGATGATGTGTTTTTATTCAGGGTAGTCGTGTGCCCCCCCCGCCAATGCTATTGCTAGTACCTATATCCTACTTCTTGATATTAATGTGTGTATAGATGCATACGCATATACATACATACACACTCACACACATATGTCTGCCTTTTTTCTTGACTCTTGTCAGCCATGTCCAAGAATGCTGTAATTTTGTACCCTGCCCTTCCCACAGATTTGATTGCACTCTGGTTTCCGAAAGTCTGAAGACCCTGCTTGTTTGACCAGTCTGAATGGGAATGAGTGACTCCTGGGCTCTTCTCCTTGTGGGACACATGGCTCTCAGTCTGAGCCACTCTCTGCCATCTCCCAAACTGTATATTCAGAAAATGGCTTACGAGCTTCTGCTGGCACTGTTACGGTTTACAGCCAGGCACTCCGTGGTAGTGGCTGACGGTCCTTCAAAGACCCTTGGGTAATGTGAAGAGGTCCCGACAGTACCATTTTCTGCTCCGCTTATCTAAGGCTTAGTTATTTCCTCCCGAATACCCCAGTGGTGTAACCCGATCAGTGCCCCGGCCCGCCCTGCGGTGTTCCCCTGCGCACCCGGGAGGGACCCTGAGGTTGGACACCACACAGCTGCCAGTTATCGTCACCAGGACTTGCTCACGCACTTCGCCCTGGGCCTGCTCCTTGTGGACACTGCTTTGGTGGACCTGGGCACTGGGGGCAGTGAGGACAGGGCCAGCAGCTTGCCCAGGTCTGAGGTGTCCCACCAGCCTGACGGCCAGGGCCTCCCCCGCTTCCCAGGGCAGAGAGGGTGACGTGACTGACCAGGAAGCCCGAGGAGAGGTGGTAGCTGACAGAGCGCTCCGAATCCCAGCCGGACTTGTGGTGCGTCCCCACAGCTGGAGGCCTCTGGGGCCGTCGTATGCGTGCCAGGCCTCACATCGTGCCCCGCACCCGCACCCTGGGCTCCTCTTCCCTCAGAAACATGCAAACTCAGGCCGAGAGGACGCTGGCTGCTGCAGCTTGGTGCCCTCGTGTGTGTGTGTGTGTGTGTGTGTGTGTGTGTGTGTGTGTGTGTGTGTGTGTATGTGTTTAAACAGGTTTATTGTGATATAGTTCACATACTGTATAAGTCACCCATTTAAAGTGTACAGTCCAATGACTTTCAGTATATTCACAGATATGTGCAACTATTACTACCACCAATTTTAGAACGTTTTTATCATCTCAAAAAGAATCCCTACCCTTTAACTACAACCATCCCATAATCCCACCCCCCACTACCTCAAGGCACAGCAACCACAAATCAATTTTCTGTCTCTGTTTCCCTATTTTGGACTTTCATGTGAATGAAATCATACAATATTTATTTTGGCCTTTTATTTCTGGCTTATTTCACCTAGCATGATGTTTTCAAGAGTCATCCATGGTGTAGCAGGTATCAATATTCACTCCTTTTTACAGCAGAGTAATATTCCATTGCATGAAAAGACCACATTTTGTTTATCTGTTCCTCTGTGGATGGACAGTTAGGTTTTTTCAGCTTTTGACTATTGTGAACAATGCTGCTCTGAACATTTGGGTTTAAGTGTCTGTGGACGTTTGTTTTCATTTCTCTTGGGTATATTGCGGGGTCACATGGTAACTCTGTGTTTAATCGTTGGAGGAACTGCCAAGTTGTTTGTGAAGTGGCTGCAGCATTTTACATTCCTACCAACAGTGTATGATGGTCCCAGTATTTCCACACCTTTGCCAGCCGTTGTTGATGTGACGTTTTGTTTGATTCATGTCATCTTAGTGGGTGTGAACTTATGTAAGATTGAAACGTCTTGGGAAGGATTTTCCCTTTCTCATAGTTCTTTAATGCAATATATTTTTTAAGTGTGTCCTTTTCAAGTATCTGTAGAAGCATGACTGCAAAGAGGTCCTATTGCCTGTCGCAGTAATAAAAGAAACTTCATATTTGTTAATCTAAAAATTTCATTGCTCAAAGCCAAGGTGGGAGACTTTAGAAAAATAATGAGTGCTGAAGGGAAGGAGGAGGGTGGGTAGAGAAGTGTGAAGGGCAGGTGCTGCGCCTCCTGGAATGCCGTGTCTTTGCCAGGAGATGGCTCCGCTTCCTGTCACTGTGTCTGATGGCGCCCTCTGTCTTTCAGGAGGACTGGCGTTGGCCCAGGTGCTCTTTTTCTACGTGAAGTACTTGGTGCTCTTCGGCATCCCAGCTCTGCTCATGCGCCTGGACGGACTCACACCGCCGCCCCTCCCTCGCTGTGTCAGCACCATGTTCAGTTTCACGGGGATGTGGAGGTCAGTGGTTTGGTAAGCCCTTCTGGGTGTCTCGTGGAGGGGCCATGGCTTGGTTCACTTCAAAGGTCTTGGGTCACCATCCTGTCTCTCTGTCCCTCACTTAAGCCACAGTTAGCACTTCAGTTTCTTCATCGAAGAGGATGATAATCCGTACTTTCTGACCTGTCAAAAATATTGTAGGCCATGATGATATGTGAGATAAGAGAGCATGTCACCGTGACTTTGTACAAATGCATAAAAGGTTATGACTCAAGTGCTTTCTTACCAACTTGGGCTATGCTGATTGTTTTATTGCTGTCTCCTTCTTGAAATTGCATCTGTATATGTGAGACAGTCAATTAAGAAAATAGACTTAGGATAAAGCATGGGCCAGCGTGTCAGCATTTACTAATTCTAAGATCTGGGGGAATTTACTAAATATCTCTGTTTCCATTTCTTATCTTTTAAATGATAATAATATAACACCCATCTCCAAGAGTTCTTGTGAAGATTAAATAAGATGATGCATTTAAAGCATTTGGCACATAGTAGATGTTCACAAATGTTAGCTTTTACTCTTATGTTATTCCTATACTTGGTGCACATGGGTAGATAGAGGCTTATTTTAAGTTTTCTGACTTTTCTTGATTTTGCTCCATAACCCTACGTTGGCCTGGCGTCTTCGTTCCAAAAGATCCCCCAACCTCCTGCTATTTCTGATTGTTGTCCTCTGGGTGGGCTTGCTTGCTGCTTGCTTTTCTTATTCCTCCCAGTATGTAACAAGTGGCAGGCTTGCATCTGCAACTGCAAACCTACTGTACAACCTCAGGGTGGAGACTGACACACCCACTGGAGTCAACGCCACTTCAGTTGCCTCCACAGGTGCCTCCATTTGCCTCACCCTCGTCTTGGCCCTTCTCAGAACGGCCATTTTGGCTCATTCTTGTGGCTCATTCAGCCTTATACTTTCCTCTTGTAGGCAGAAGAGGCAGGACATAGTAGGGGAAGAGCTCAGTGTCTATTCCGATACCTAATATTGCTATTGAAAAGAGGGTAGATAGTACACAATGCCCTGGTTTCCCATTGTAACTTATTATTGATGCTGAATGTATCCAAGCCCCTGAAAAAAAATTTTATTTTTGGCTTAATTTGCTTTTAGGGATTAGAAATGTCATCTGGCTATTGCAAGGGATGTCAAGTAATTGCTTTGATTTGTCCTTAATTACTTTATAGAATATCATAGGTTGACCAGTTTTAATGTCAAGGTTAGCAAAGGGACTGTCTCTAGCCAGGGGCCAGGGAGTGGCTGGAAGGCGCTGTTAACTTCTGACCTACTCATAAAGATAATTCACCGAAAAAATGGGTCAGGATTCAGCATGATTTGGGGGATGTGTCTCGAGTGCCTGGCGTGCGCCGAGCACCCTTCCTCCGTCTCCTGGGTGGAAGGCTTGCATTAATGCGTTTCTTGGGAAGCACATTCTTCTAAAGGGCCTCTCCAGTGTCAGCCGGCATCGTAAAAAACCTTGACGTCGGGCAGGCAGGCTGGCTCCAGGCCCCGGCGCCTTGTCCGTAAATACCAGTGCACCAAGTGTCACAGGAGGTGGTTTAGGCATGCCACTGTATTTCACATTCGGATTGGTTGTCTTCTTGTCCTTTATTCTTTTAATTAATTAACCTATGAATTATTATTTTTTTTGCCTAAGACCCTCAGTGCTGTACAAACCACAGAGGTGAGAGAGCATGTCTGCCAAGACCTGTTATTTCTGTTCAGCACTAGACTCAGCTAGTGTGGGCCCCAGGTCGTTGAGACGCTCTCTCCTCCCTCTCAGTGACCACGTGGGCAAGGGAGCAGTAATGAGAAGTCACTCTGAGTGGGAGGCTCCAGGGTGGCCCCTGGGAGCCATTGGTTCTAAAGGCAGAGCCTCGCAAGGACATGTGACGGAACAGCACCCACAGGCTTTTCTGGGAGTGACCTAGACTTTTACCCCGGCTCACTTTAGCTTTCATGGGTGCAGACGTCCCCTTCACATGTGTTTCAGTTTTTTTTGAAGGGTTTTCTGGTTTGACAATTACACTTAGAAACCCCTGGGTCTGCGTTTTTTTTGTACACAGTGACCACTTCATATTTAGTAGCTGGATTAAGGAAGGGGTATTTAGTTCCCTTGAGCAGCAGTGTGCAATTTAAGGCTTAGAAGAAGTGTTTTTTTTTTTTAATTGATAAAAGAATAAAAGTTACAGTTTATCTACTATGCTATTTGCAGGTGTTCCTTAACCCTTAGGGGGAGGTATTCCATGCTCCATGCTCCGGGGGTTCAGGGGCGTGTAGTACGACCCTACACTGCTCCTGGTCCCCACTCGAACTTTCCTCTGTAAGAATGCATGTCAAGGGAAAATACAGCTTTGAGTTTGTGCTTTCTATTCGCAACTAACTTCACGCTACTATTTCTGGGGCACCTGTTGAGGCCTTGCTGCAGGCAGAGAACTGCTCCCTTTTCCTGGATTCAGGCCTGAGAAGAATGGAGGCAGAGCCAGTGTGGACGCTGGCGATGCAGGTCTTCCTGCGGGCAGGGCGGATGGCGGGGTGCAGGGGAGAGATTTCAAAACAACCCATGGATATTGTTCATGGTTACCCAAACTTCTAGAAAATCCACACTGAATGAGGTTAGAAGTGCCGATGAGAGATGAATATGGAGCCCCCTGTTTTAAAGGTGCCTCCCACACCGGAACAGTGTGCTGGCTGCCCTGTCTTTTGGACCACTCACCAGTGAAGGGAAGACCTGCAGCCGGCAGCCGACCGTATCGGGGAGCCTGAGCTTGCGTCCTAGAACAGATGAAACTGGCCATCAGCAGAGGGATAATGCGGTCTGATGTGATAGTTCAGATGGATCATGAAAAATTGCTATTCACCCAGAAGGCCCACACCTGAGCATTAGCATCTCTGATGGCCTGTGTATTGTTTTTCTAGCTCTGATATTTGCAGGCATAACAGAACCCTAAGGAGTATGCGTATCCCGACTTGCACAATTTTTCTGTGGCCATGTTGACCTGAGAAATTGAAAATTTCTGCTTCATTTTTAGGTTTAACATATTAAGTTCAGTAGGCTGAGATCTGTAATGAGCATTTTTGCTAGGAGTCATCAAAGATGATGTGGCACGTCCAAGGTTCCAAATTAGAAATCTGATCATGTTTCCCTGATTTGATTTCGAGCTATGGAAGTGTGCAAAGTGATAGAATTTCCCCTGGCGGCTGGTGAGTTATGGGTCAGTTTCATTTATCTCAGGGACCTCACACAGCTTGTCCTCTGCATTTCTTGAATCGTGACGCTCTCAGGTCTTCACAGGCAAACGCATGCATCACTGCTTATCCCAGAGGTATCTGGGCGCTGTGAGAGGCGGCTCGACCTTAAGATACTGGACATGTTTGGCCTGAGCCCCTCAGAGTTTAAGTCCCTAGGCGGAGAGTTGGTCCAGGCCTGTGGTAGATGATGAAAACCAGGCGGTACAGAACTTGCTGACTTCGCACGAGTCCTCTTTTGAGTCATGTTTAACCTAAGGTGGCAAGGCAGGATGGCAAGCATGGAGCTGGTGAAATATATGCCGTACAGCAGGGGCAGCATGAACATAAAGGAGAAAAGATGGAAGAAAGTTCTGTTAGTCAGAGTTCACCTTTTTGGGAGGCAACGTAGTAACTAAGAACTTGCCACTTACTAGCTGTGTGACTTGGGCAATTATTTAAAATGTTCTGAGCCAACCTTTTCATCTCTAAAATGGAGATATAATAGCACTTGTCTCACAGGGGTGATGTGAGGGTTGATTGAACCTGGTGTATAGTAGGTCCTCAGGAAGGGAAGGCTTCTTCCTTTTTTGCTCTTGAAAATCTAACAAAGCCAGAGGTGACAGAGATGAGCCTGAGGATGGGCCAGACTGGGGAAGCCATGGGCAGCGAGGGGAATGGCCGAGTCTAGGCTCTGGTCCAGCTCTGGGCCTACGGGGGAGCCTGTGGGGGAGCCTGTGGGGGAGAAGTCGCGGGCTCTGCCCCCGGAGGAGGGGGTGTGATCAAGTTGCTTCTGCCCCAGGTTCCTCGTCGGGTGAATGAACAGCACGCCCTTGTCCCGAGGTGGTCTTTGTTCCCCTCCAGTTCTGTTGCTGGCCGAGGCCCGGCCATGTTGGATGGGCATGGCCACAGCGTCTTGGTGCTGAAGTGCTCCCACCCATGTCACTACCCATGTGACTGAGCTAGTTATCCGTCCTCCTTATGCCTCCGTTTTCTGAGGTATTAAAATTGGGCTGGTTATAGTGTTTGCCCTGCGGGGTTGTTGCACGGTCAAGCGAGGTCATGTTCTGAAGCAGGGAACACAGAGCGGGCACGCTGTGGATGTGGACACCAAAATGTTAGCTAAAGATCACAGTTAATAGATATGAAAGTAAACTTTATACTGTTTGTTTTTTAACTTCCCAGAAAAGAAAGGTGGTTGAGGAGGCGGCAGGTGGTTGGGATGGAAGGAATGGACTTCAGAACGGAAAACAGGGGCTTTCCATGAGCTGCACCATGTGACCTCTCCTTACCCTATGGAGTTCTTTTTGCCAACAGTTTGTAGGTACTGGACATTTACATTACCTCACGTTTTGGGGGTACCTCTCTTAGTCACTCCTTCTCTCTTATGAACCCATCTCAGTGGACTCAGAAAACATGTTTCTTCTTTTAACCATCATATTTCAAAATCCCCTTACCTCCGAACAGAGACTAGCATGAATCAAAGCAGACAGGGAATAGCAAGTTGAGATATATTGTATGAGCCATCATTATGTTTCGCTTCCTGGATTTATTTTTACTTCAAAGCTAGGTACTCTGGCCTCTTCTCCATTCTCTCTCTGTGTGGAAGCAGTTTTCAGCTCACATATTGCTGAGCGAACCCTCAGACCGAAGTCTTTCAGGGTGAGGAGGCTGATGCACGAACACCGGGGCATCTCCAAATGCTGGGCCCAGACCCAGAGCCTGGCCGCCTGGGTTTGAAACCTGG